CTATAAGACTTGTCCCACAATTCTAAAATTTGAAAAATGCGACATTAACGTAATCCAATAAGACTTGACCCACAGTTTTTTTGGGTTTAGTCTTCTTGAGTCAAATGATAAGATTGGATATGTGGCAGTAATGCATTACTGCCACATATCAACACATAAAGTCAATTCAAAAAATACAAAAATGATTCAGATTCTTTCATGTGTAATAATATTTTTTTAATAACACAAAAAGTTTATTCAACTTTTTGTGTTATTAAAAAATTATTATTACACATGAAAGATTCTGTGGAGCGAAACTTTGATGATAAATATATATATATATATATATATATATATATATATATATATATATATATATATATATATATATATATATATATATATATATATATATATATATATATATTTTCATAAAGAAAAATGTATAAGCGCAGCAGATTAGCACAATAATTGTGCCAAAGTGGATAAAACCATGAAACTTTTTTTAAACGTAGAAAATAAATATACAATACATTTAAGATAGGGTGGCACGTTGAGTTAGTTGGATCTCGTTTTTAAAAAATCAAAATAGGATTTTGTGTTGATAACAAAACGCAGACCACATATATTTCAGCACGAGTGCATTTTATAAAATATTTTTATAATTTTCTATATATATATATATATATATATATATATATATATATATATATATATATATACATACTTTTATTTTTTTTCTGTTTATAAATAATCTTGTTTTCTATTTAAATTAATATGTTATCAATTATTTATCTAAAAACTTCTAAAATATTTCTGGTCTACGTTTTGTAAAATACGCGAAGCTCATTTTGTTTACTAAAACAATGACGTATGAATACGTATTTATACTAGCCTGCGAAGTTTCTAAATTTATAATAGAATCAGTTTTTGATTAATCGATTCGATTCGAAAATAAAAAAATGATTCAAGTTTTTCGAATTCTTAATTGTTTTTTTTTTTATTGTGTTTTTTTTTTTATATATTTGACGCTTTGGGTAGTCGGTAAAATGCGAACTGCGAACTGCGAACTGGTAAAATGGGAACTTTTTTGCGAACCATGGTTCTATTGGTTGTTAATGATGTAATACTTTATTTTCCGTTTGCCGTTAAATTGTTTATTTTCCAAAATATTTTAAGGACTACACACAAAATCATTTATTTAAAAAAACAAATTGAGTAAAACTAGTATGAAAAAAGAAAACTGCGAAAAAAACAGATACTTAAGATGAAAAAGTGAATAGTAAGAAAAATCTGTAAAAAATGTATAATGAAGAAATAGTTCTTTGTTTATACTTCTTCTACAGATTCATATATTATAACGAAGATTCATAAAAAAGGGATATGATATTAAAAAAAACAACATTCAAGGTACACCTTTTGTTACTATAAATATATATTCTACACTCTGTTTTGATAAGTAAATATAATTAGTTAAAAATATATTTTATATATTATACGTACTTTATTAATTATATTATATATATGTATTTATATAAACTATGTAAAAACTTTATTTATAGTTTTTGTTTACTTTTCTTTTGTTTAAAGTTGTTATCAACATGATCTATCTATATATGTGTGTGTATATATATATATATATATATATATATATATATATATATATATATATATTATATATATATATATATATATATATATATATATATATATATATATATCATGTTTTTTTTAAGGCATTAACTTTAGCTATCAAATCTTTTATTTCGTCTGGATTAGCATCTCCTGCTGGAATAACTTCAATATCAAGTGTTCTTGGTCTTTTTCTTCCTCCTGTTTTGTCAGATTTTTTTCTTGTATTTCGACGAAGTTGTGTTAGATAAACCTGTTTTTTTTTGTTGTTTGTAACAGATAGACCAATAGCCTGGCGTGCTGCCAATATATGATAACATCTACTTTCAGCTGGACATGAACATGTCTCTTTTGGAAACAGTTTTACTACACGTGGTTCTATAGATCCTTTTACAATAAAGGTCGCAAGTTTGGGGTCAAGAGCAATATGAGAATTTCTAATGATTTCATTGGCCCTTTCAACAGAAGTTATCATAGTTGTATCTTGTACTAACTCTAAACTTTTAGATGTATTATGCATAAATTGATTGTTGATGGTTTCTTTAATACGTTGAACAATTTGTTCTGGTGCTGTTGTATCTGGAATATAAAGATCACATTCTTCATAAGTACCTTTCAATTCAGCTCTTAATTCATATTGGCCAGTTCCTTTTCGAGCACGATAAATTTCCACCATACTATATTGTATAAGTCTATATAAGCTTAAAGCCATTGAATCAACAGTAGCCTCTTTCCAGTCCTGTAGTCGCTTAATTACAGTATTAAATGCTTCTGATTGATTTGTTGTAATTTCATGAAAGTTAAACTGTTTAATTCTCCAAGATCCAAGTTTGTCTACTACACTATGAATTGTTTTGATATAGTACTCAGAAAAAGGCTGACTTCATGCTGATAACATTGTTATTAGTTTATCTTTATATGAAGATTCAGAATCAGAACGAAGAAGAGATTGAATACATTCAGTGTAATATGCTAATTCATATTTTGTCTTCACTCCATGCAATTGTAACCATCGCTTACTGTCCTGCAAAACATGGTTCCAACAAAGAAAATGTGAAACTGATGGAAAACTTTCTTTGATGGCCTCTGTTATAGCTCGTTCTTGATCTGTGACAATAAAAACATTCTTTAAAGCAAGTTCTGGGCATACTAATTTCATATGTTGCCAAAATATGGAATGGGGCATTAGTGTTTTTCGCTCATGTATCATAAAAGCTAGTGGAATGATTGGACTTGGGTCAAACTCAGTTTCTCTAAATAGCAAAACAGAAAGATAGAAGTCGCCTAAAGAAAAAGTTGTATCATATGATAGTTGCTGAGGTAGTTGAGACAATTTCAGTACTTGCTGAAAAATTTGCAGTGTTTTATCTGAGTACATAACTACCACCAAATCAGGAAATGTTATTATATTATGAATAAAATTTGTATCATACGCTAATTCATGAAGATTGTATAAACTATCTCTAGATAAACGCTGCTGATTGCGTGTTGATTTTAAAGTATTACTGACTTGTTCCATGTTACATGGAACTGCTGTTATATTTATATCAGCTGTATTTGATAATATTATGTCTTGTATACTTTTTGGACAGAACCTGTACTTTCCTTAATTTGGTTTATAACACCTGGCTGTGTCCTGATAAAATCTCTATTACATCTAGTAGCATTTCCATGAGGAAACTGCACACCCTTAGCTTCATCACCAATGTATGATATCAGAACTGAATTAGCATAATCAGCATGATAGTGTGCTCTACGTACAAACACATCACTTACTGTGTCTTGTGCAACAAGAATTCTAAAATACTTCCTTTTAATTCCATTAATTGTCTTTGAACCCCCTTGCCTCCACCTGTAACCATCTGCACGCCAATTTTCTAAATAATATTCTATGTTATTGTGAATAATTTTCCTTGGTTTTTAATTTAAAAACAATTTAATCTTCAAACGATCCTTAATTCTTTTAAAATGTGAATAAATTGTATAAATTATATATATATATATATATATATATATATATATATATATATATATATATATATATATATATATATATATATATATATATATATATATATATATATATATATTCACATATCTTACCTTTATCCTTGTCATTAGTCCACGAGAAAATGTAATTAGTACCAGCTTTTGGTTTGTACCGAACAGCGAATTCAGCGGGTAAAGATTTAAATAAATCTAATTCCATTATATTATTTAATAAAAGAAAGAATTGAATAGCAAACGTTTTATATAACTTTAATATATTATATTGCGGTCATTAAAATGTAATGTTTTGGTTCGCAAAAAAGTTCGCATTTTACCGGTTCGCAGTTCGCGGTTCGCAGTTCGCACTTCACCGATTACCGACGCTTTGGTGCTATCAAATTAATATTAATCAAACGTTAACCACGGCAAGAAGCATTTCAAAAAAGTTTTTTTTTTTTTTTTTAATTTAATATATATTTGCTGTTTATATAATAAGAAATATAATTACAAAAAAACGTTTACATACAAAAAAAGTAAATTTATAATAAACAGCTAGGGGCTCAAAGAAGATACGGATGACTAAAGTCACCACAATCTTTTCATAGAGCCCCTAGATGGGCTTTACAAGTTAAAAAAAAGTTTTTCATGATGAAAAGTGAATTTTGAAAGTTGTAAACAAATTCAAATAATTTTTAATTAGATTTCCGTATAAATACAACCAATTTATTGTAAACTCATATGTGTTAAGTTTATAATAAATTTGTTTTTTTGAGTTGGTTACTGTATTTATAGAAGTTATTGGCATCAATATATCAACTGTACCTAATGAGGCACATTGATCGTTGACTATGCGGGGCTCATTGATCGGAGGATCAAAGTGCCCCCTATAACTTATATTATAACACTTAAACTTTTTGTTTAAATTTTATACATTTAAACTTATGACGAATAAAAAATCTTTATATAAACTTTTAAAATTTCATTTTTAAAATTTAATAGTGTTAAAAACTAATATTAATAACATTAGTTTTTAGTTTTACATAAGTTTTACAATTAGTTTGCATAATATTATTATATAAAATTTTTTTTTTAAACAATCATTTTATTTTACTTTTTTTTAAATTTTCAGATCTTTAAATGGTTAGGAATAGAAAAAAAAAACAGACAGAGTTGCTATATAATGTGATACAATGAAATCAGCAGTTAATGAAGTTTTAGAGGGCAGACCAGTGAATGTTGTAGCTCGCAAGTTTAGCATAAATCGAATGACCTTAAAAAGATATTGTAATAAAAAGAAGCTCAACCCAAATGAATCTTTTAAGCCTAATTACAACAATAAACAAGTTTTTACTGCAGAAGATGAAAAAAGTTTGTCAAGTTATTTACTACTTGCATCAAAAATGAACTATGGACTTTCAACTAAGTCAACACGATTATTGGCATACGAGTTTGCTGTAAAAAATAATAAGGTTTGTCCTTCATCATGGATCAAGAATAAAATTGCAGGGATTGATTGATTGGTTAACAACAGTACAAAAGCCAGTAAAAGTGTTAGCAGGTAAAGGAAGTAAACAAGTAGGAAGAACCACATCTGCAGAACGTGGAACATTAGTAACTGTATGTTGTGCTTCAAATGCAATTAGAAACTCTATTCCTCCACTATTTGTTTTTCCTAGGGTCAAATTTCATGATTACATGATAAAAGAAGGTCCTCCTGGATGCGTGGGATTTGCAAATCCTTCTGGTTGGATGAATTCAGACATTTTTATAGAATGGATAAAACATTTTGTGAGGTATTCAAACTGTTGTCATGAATCTCCAGTTTTGTTACTTCTGGACAGCCATAAAAGTCATATTTCTGTTAGAGCTTTGGATCTTGCAATTCAACATGGAATTACAATGCTAAGTTTTTCTTCCCATTGTACCCATAAATTGAAACCATTGGATAGAACTGTTTTTGGACCATTGAAAAGGTTTTACAATGCTGCGTGTGAAAATTGGATGGTCACAAATCCAAGACCTATGACCATTTATGATATTGTTTCAATAGTTCGCGAACCATATACAAAAGCTTTCTCACCATCTAATATACAGAGAGGATTTCAAGTAGCTGGCAATGAGCCATTTAATCCAGAAATTTTTAAAGATGATGAATATTTACCATCATCAGTTACAGATCGTGCTGCTCCAAATGTAGTAAACACAATTCTTGTGGAACCTGAAATGACTTTAGCACATGTTGATGGCATGGAGCCTGAAATGCCATCATGCAACAAGTTTTTCAAACAAAGTGTCACCAAGCATTGCTTCATTACTCTCGCCTGAAGTTTTGAAATCTTACCCGAAAGCATCTGCTAGAAAAAGAGGTGTTAAAAGTAGGCAATTAAAAACAAGGATTTTGACTGATACTCCAATCAGAAATGAAATTCGTTTGTCAGAAGAAAAGAAAACCCTAAAACAAATCAACCAACAAAAGAAACTCATCGCAAAAGATAAAAAAAGGGTTAAAAACTACTTGCTTAGGAACAAAAAACAATGTAATGTAAAAGCAGCATCACGACTTGACTTTGACAAAGGATGATAATATAAAAAAATAATCTTGTAAACTTTAGTTCTAATAAAAGTCTTGTAAAAATTAGAAAATTAATCTTGTAAACTTTAGTTCTAATAAAAGTCTTGTATGAATCTTGTATTTTCTTTGTAAACTTAAAATACTGTATTTTCATAGACTTTATAAGCTTCAAGTTTTGTAAAACTTAACACATATATATGTTAGTAGTATATAACGGGCTTATTTCCATAGATAGAATTGTGGTTATTCTTTTAATGTAAACTTTATACACTGGTGTGTATTAGGTTGTAATGATATGTATATATATATATATATATATATATATATATATATATATATATATATATATATATATATATATATATATATATATATATATATATATATATATATATAATATATATATATATATGTATATTAAATTTTACTTTAAATGTATTATATAATATACACTAATACCCTTCAACTAATGCATTTGTAGCACTTAGGTATAGCAGTATTAAACATGTAAATAATGCTATAAGATCAAAGCGCCCCATACCGGTGATCATAGTACCCCATTGCATGGGGTACATTGATCTTTTGCAAGGGTTGTTGTAATGTTGAAATATACCATGTTCATTAATGTTTTTTATTAAAACATTTATTTTTACTTAAAGACAGATTGTTCTAGTTTAGCTTAGTAATTAATAAGTTTTTATATCTAGATCGGGTTGTTTGCAGTTTTCAAAATACTGCAACGGCGATCAATGCGCCCCCATCTCCCCTATTTAAATTTTTTGTTTTTTGAAAAGTGTTCCATAGTTTTGGTCCGCAGTATGATATTCCATATTCAGAATACTTACTATTAATTCTTGGTAATTTATAAGTATTCCATTGGTTTATTCGATGAGAATTTTTTTTTTGTTTACATTTTTTGTAAATTTATCATTAAAGTTTTTTGGAATCAAGCTGTTGTTACATTTATACATAAAAATTAGGTGTTGGTAAATGTTGATTTCATATATATTCATCACTTTCATGTTTTCATTAATGGTTTTGCATGTTCATATTTTTTCTTTATATATTTAAGTCTGCATGCATGTTTTTGTAAAGAAAATATTTTTTTAAGTTTTGTTGGTTGAGTACTAGCCCATGTGATATTGGCATAGTATATGAAACAATGTATTAGGCCAAAATATACTGATTTCAGACTTTCTGATGTTACATATTGACAAATACGGTACATCAGACCAATTGTTTTACTAATTTTTGATTGAATATAATTGATATGGGGAAGCCATGATAAATTTTCATCAATAAGAATTCCTAAGAATTTTATTGAATCATTTTTACTAATTAGTGCATCATTTAAAATCAAATCAGGTAATTTTATAGGAAGTTTTTCATCTTGTGATTATTTATGAAATAAAGTATATTCAAATATTTTATGAAATAAAATATTTGAATATAATAAATATTTTATGAAAATAAATATTTTATGAAATAAAGTTTATTCAAATTTTTTTTTCTGAAATGTATAACATAAAAAAAATGCTTCAATTTCAGATTTTGAGTGAAGACCTGCTTGGATTTGTGTACTAAAAATGACGATTCACAGGGCCCTAATCCCTACACATATTTTACATGTTTATTTTACAACTAAAAAGTATTTACAAGTAACCAATCACAGATTGGCGGTAAAAATATACAAACATAAATATCATAAACATGAAGTACGAAATAAACAAAATATAGTTGCATTAAACTCTGAGACACGATTAAAATAAACACCAATTACAACAATGTAGTAACGTGTACGTAAAAATAATCCGATAAATATATCTCTATATTATTCCACTTAAAATAAAATAATACAATAAATAAAAATAAATTAGCTGATTTTTCGGAGAAGTGTTTAGATTTTTTTTTTTTTTTTTTTTTTGTATTTAAGTGCTCCCTATGAGTTTATTTACCACATTTCAAACTAATTTTTGTGTATAAATATAATAAAAACAAAATTTGTGTAAGATCGATAAGAAAAATTACTTGTTAGTAGTTATAGGAAGCTCGCAGAAAACTTAGATCAGTCTTGTCATCGAGTACCTTTTTCTGGACGTGTAATACACATAAAAATCAGTTGTATACGTGGTATATATGTATGTTGTACATATATACCTCGTTATTAATATTATTATTATTTTTTATTGATTTGTATTAAAAGTTAAGCTACATTTTTTTAAATTTTTTTATTAATATTTAAAAAAAAATTCCTTACAGTTGTTTAATTTGATTATTGTAGATTTTATCTTTATTTTCAGAGAGTGTTTGTTGTTTAGGTTTAATAGTGATTCGTTTCTGGAAACTAATTTGTTGAATAAATAGGGACCACGATATGTAATTGAGAATTTTGAGAGTCTTGTTGTTTCAAACGGTATCTTAAAGTTGCCTGTTGTTCTTGTATAGTATTTATTTATATTGTTTTTTAAAAAGTGTGCTGTAAAATGTTCTGGAACCAGATTTAGTTTTTATTTAAACATGAAAAGTATATTTTGACAAATATTTATTTGAAATATATTTAGTGCGTTCATTTGTTCCAATAAGGGTTGAGCATGAGCAAATTTATTTTTGTTGTATACTAGTCTTGAAGCGTGTTTTTGAGGTAGGTAAAGTGATTCTAATTTAGATTTGTGGGTACTGCCCCATGCTATACTGGCATACTTCAGGTAGCTATGTATGAATGAAAAGTAGACAAGTTTTAGACTTTTTTGTGACAAAAATGGTCTTGCTTTGTATAGTAAACCAATGTTCTTTGATACTTTTGTGTTAATGTAGTTTATGTGAGGTTTCCAGGAGATTAGTTCGTCAATTAGAACTCCTAAAAACTTTGTATTCAGAACTATAATTTAAAACTTTACACTTTTATGTTTTAACTTGCTTTGTTTATAAAATGAATCGTGAAATATATATATATATATATATATATATATATATATATATATATATATATATATATATATATATATATATATATATATATATATATATATATATATATATCTATATATATATATATATATATATAAATATATATATATATATATATATATATATATATATATATATATATATATATATATATATATATATATATATATATATATATATATATATATATATATATATATATATATATATAAGTATGTGTGTATATATCAGTGGCCTAGCTACATATGTAGCGCTTGGAGCAAGTAATATTGGTGCCCCTCTTTACTCTCAAAGTTAATTGAGAAGAGTGCAAATTAACTATTGTGTTTTTATCACAAAGGCTATATACATTATGGAATAGAAAAATAATAAACAAAGTTGCAGATTTTTCTAACTTATGCTTATCCAATTTAAGTAATTGCATAAAATGGACAGGGGTTGCTAACAGACTTTCTGAAGGTAATAAAAAAAGTATAAAAAACTCCCTAACATTCTGTGCGTTTGGAGCATTTGCTCTAACTTCTTCAATGTAGCTACGCCACGGATATACATACATACCGGCATTTTCTGACCACTTTAGATCCTCTTGCAAGGCTAAATTTTTTTTTAATTTAAACTTTTTTGTCAATAGTTGCTGATTTCTGTGACGTCGAGGGAGTGTTTAATATAAACCCATTTTGACGCCTTTTTTTATTGGGGGGGGGGGGGGGGGGGGAGGGAGGGGGGAAGGTCGTGCCCAAACAATTCCTGTCCTCATTGGAGTATCTGCAATTAATGTATACTTGCTAAGTTCTACCTTCCCTAAGATTTTGGTAAAGATTAGTTAAACGGTATAAAACTTATTAATGTTTTTATAAATCCAAGATGGCGGTAGCTGCCATCTTGGATTTAAACCAGTTCTGGTCATGCTACACCTTGACAACATATCTTAAAATGATAAGCATAATTTTCTGGGTTATTATTGAAAATTTGATGATTTTATCCACTTCTACACAATTCCAATCTTTTTTAATGCTAATCTGCTGCACTAAAATCCGTTTTATTTTTGTGTGTGTTGTATTTATTTTGCTTATTCTCAATTTTTTGAATTTGTATGAAATATGTAAAAGACACTAAAAATCTTATCCAAGAGATATTCCATAGATAAGTGTATTTTTTTGCTGTTAATCCACTTAGAATGTTCTTCAAACACGTCATTGCAAATAATGTAGCTCCACAAATACAACACTATTGCGTTGATGATGTGTTTGTTATATTTGCTAAACCTTTTCTATCAATAATGCACAAAATCAATAATAAAAAAAATTTCCATTATTTTATGGATTTCCATTACTCAAAATTTCTTTTATCTAAAACGACTGCGGCAGTTTCTTTGATGAAATGAAGTTCAATTGGTCTACAAATTCTTACAATATAAGACATCAAGTTCAAATAGTCATTTTGTGAATTTGATACGCTGAGCCTCAAAGGTGTTGTTACAATTGCAAACATATTTGAATCTTGACTGTAAAGAGAATTAGAAAACGTCTGGTTGTACAAAGCTTTTCCAGTAGATCCATCTAAACCCCAACTATTTAATAGCAACATATTTTCACTTAGTTTGTTACTGATATCTAAATAGTCTGTTATTATTATTTGTCTCATTTTTATAGTTTTTTCACCGGTGTGATTCGTAAGTGCTTGTAAATCTACTTTAACTCTTAAATTACTGACTTCTAAGTGATTATCCTGTGGACAATACAACTTAAATGCTTTTTCAACTGTTGAATGAGATGGATATATTATT